AGACTGGTTTGAAAATTTTCCACCGATTACAATTAATAAGATTTCCTTTTGAAGTGATCATTATGAAAATATTTTTGAATTAAAACTCAAACTCCGATCTACTTTAATCAAGTTTTGTTTTGAGATTCAGATTCTCTCAACAGAATAATAATCGATTCAAGCTCAACGAACTTTAATTACTATTCTAATTGACAATTAAATAGAAGCAACTCTTGCATTGCTTGAGCAGATTGATAATGAAAAAAGAATTATTAATTCGAACAATTTAGAAAGATTTTTTGTTTTGTTATTGGCACTGGTCGTTCATGTGCATGATATTTAATACGTATTTTTTTATTACGAAATATTTTTAATCAATTATTTAACAGATGTTTTCTATGCTTATGTTTATTTATGAGCATATGGAAAATAAAATTTATACTATGAGAAGAAATATTTTCGTATAACTATCGTTGACGTGAACTCAAGTACTTGTCAAATTTATCAAATATTTTAGAAGTGATGAAATTTTTAAACTAAGAATTGAGAAAATATCTTATTTAAGATTTAGAACTGATTTGATTTAATGATGCCATATAAAAAATATTAATTTTTGTTGAAATATTAAATAAGTTTCAGATGTTAATGTTTTAAGATAAATTTTTTTATTCATAAAAACTGTTTTTCTTTCCAAATATTTTTTCCAAGAGTTATTTCTTATTTTTATTTGAAAGAAAATATTTATCATTTATTGTTAAATATTTAATTTTAAGTTCAAAAGTGACTTTAAAATGTCGTGAAAGTGAAATAATAGTTCTGAAGTTTTTTTTTATAGCATAATGCAAAAAGAATCTTATCAATAATTTGCATATAAACATTTAGCATTGCTTTTCTCATTATTAAAATCCAAAAAGTAATTTATTTAAAAAGAAAAAAAACGACTTTTTTTTTCATTCTTTTAATAGATATAAAAGTAAAAGAGAATTTCTTTCTTCTTTTTCTTGTTAACAAATAATGATAATAAATTTTTAATATTTCAATTATTGGAATTATTCAAAAAAAAAAAACTCACTCTCGATGAATAACAGCTCGACGATGTATATGACATATTCTTTCAAGCATTTGTTGACCAAGTAAAACAACAGTTTTTATTGTAAATCGTCTATGACAATAATTATATAAATCTTCAATACTCGGTCCAAGCATTTCAAGTATCATAGCATGATAACTATCTACTGTTCCATACCTTTGACAAATTTATATATGTAGATTGATTTTTTTTTCTTTTTTTTGTGAATAAATCTTTGATTCTATTCATCTTACCAATACATTTTAGGCATACCAGTTCCTTCAATAGAACGATATATTTGACTTTCTTTATATAATTGTGGATGATGAGAATTTTTCGATTCAAATTTAATAGCAACTTTTTCATTAGTAATTAAATTTTTTCCTTGATAAATATAACCAAATGAACCTGAACTTATCGGTGATTGTATCGACCATCGATTTTTAATTATTTTTGGAATTGTTTCTTGTTGCTGTTTATGATAATAATCGCTTTGGGATAATTGATGTTTATCTGATTTAGAAGAAAGCAATTCTGTTATTTGATGATAATGAGATTTTAAACGCATTGAATTGATTGAAATAAAATCTAGCAATTCTTTCTCTCTCTCCCTCTCTCTCTCTCTCTCTTTTTCTTTTTCTTTTTAGTAATCATAATGACCAAAATAAAGAAAAAAGTAATTTAGTAGTCAAAAGGCGGGTTGATTAGTCATGTAAGACAAATATATTAAAGGACAGAAGAATAAGCAAGAAAGAATGATGTATAATTTTCTACTAAATTGATGTTCTCCTGGTCGAATACAAGCAACAACA